CGGGGCAGGGAAGGCGTGGCTCGCACGGAGGCCCCGGGGAGCGCGGGTGAGAGAACCGAGACCCGCGGCCCTGCGGGCGCTGGGGCACGCTGACAAGTCGCAGAGGTGGCGGGGAAGGCGCTCGCCACTGCGAGAAGAGGGAGAGGGAGGCCTGGCACTGAGAGGGACGCGGCGCGACCCAGCCGGCTCGAGGACCGCGAGCCCGCCTGGCAGCGTGGCCACGAGGAGCCCTGCAGGGGCCTGCTTTTTATTTTTTGAGACTAAGTCTTGCCGTGTAGTTCAGGCTGGCTTTGACTCACAATGTACCACAGGCTGGCCTTGAATTTGCTTCGATTTTCCTGCCTCAGCCTCCTGAGTTCTGGGATTATAGGCATGCACCACCATGCCTGGCCAGTTTCTTTACTGCAAATTTAACTTTGCATTTAAAAAATATTATATGAGGGCTGGCCAAATAGCTCAGTAGATTAAAGCACCTGCAAACAGGCACAGGGGCCAGGGGTTTGATCCCCAGGCCTGCTATGCTGGCTCTGCCCCTAGGGCATGCTGAGATGGCAATTGAGACTGGGCGTGGTGGTGCGTGCTATAATCCCAGCTCTTGGGAGGCTATAAATAGGCGGATCACTACAAGTTCGATCTAGTAGTGAGACTCTGAACACCCTCTAGACCTTTCCCTAAAATTTAAAAAAAAAAAAATTATATGGAGGTTTAGGCCTATAATCCCAGAACTATGGGAGGTTCAGACAGGAGGATCACAAGTTTGAGTCTAGCCTGGGCAACTTAGAGACTTAGTGAGACTCTGTCTCAAAATGTTTTGAAAAAATTCTGAAGGGCTGGTATGGCTGTAGATCATTGTAAAAACCCTGGCTTCAATTCCCAGTACTGGAAAAAGCCTGACTGTGTAGTGGGAATATGTTTGGGTAATCTCCTCTGTCCCACTGATAGAATTAGAAATCCCTTTGGATGTGACCTGGATGTCAAATTAGCCCAGCAGAAGAGTTTCTAGAAAAACGAACCTCACGGACATAGAGCCCCCATCTTACCTTCCTGATGTGTGCGCACGCATGTGTGTGTGTATACAGCGATGACTGAGCATCATCCTGCTTTATTCCCATGGCTCCGCCCACCCTGATGATGGTTTCAGGTTGTGCAGAAGTGATGGGAGAGGCCTGTGTGATGACAGGCAACCCAGAGACAGATGGGGGAACTGCCAGTACCCACGGCCATCGCAAGGCCCGCTTGATCTGGCTGCAAGCCTCAGGCCTGATGAAGGACTCGGGAGGACAGGATGGCCAGAGAGGCCAGGCCGGGCCAGCACTGCTCAAATCCAGAGGGCGGAGAGTATGGGGGCTCCACAAACAGCTGCTTCCCGTGGCCCCAGCAAGATGTAACCCTGTTTTCTATATCCCGCTGCCTGAGAAGCCCCCCCAAGAGCTAAGAATCTCAAATAGTCCTGGGAAGGGTAGCGGCAGCAAGGAAGGAAGAAATCAGAATCTTGGCCCGAGTCCCTAATGGTGATTTCAGGACCATAATCAGCCAGTGAAAGAGAGAAGTGCTGGAGGCAGGGACGGGAAAGCCCTCTGACTTCTCTAACCAAAGCCACATCCATCTGCTCACTGGTGGGTGAGGGGCAGAGCTTGGGGTTACTCAGCTGAAACCCCCTCTTCCCCATGCAGCCCCAGGCCAGTTGGCCTTGAGCTCAGAGCTCATTTCAAGCCTCTTCTTCTTTTAAGATGAAAACTGCCCCTCAGTCAATTCCTTTTGGTCAACTGCTCCTGTTTGGTAATGTGTGTACCCTGGCATCTGGGGACCACACCAACCAAATCCCCTTGTGCCCATTCCACAGAGCAACCTCCCCCCACCTCGGAGTGGGGGTGCTACTTGTTTTGCTTCCTCTTTAAGTGAGATGACCTGGCTTCTTCCTATTTGCCCCATGCAAAGGACCTAGACATCACCCAGCAGATGTGACCTGGGGTCTTCTTTCCCACAGTTTTCCATGACAGGGCTGCCAGGTGACCAGGGCCTCCTCTTGTCCCCAGTCCCAGCGGCATGGATGGAGCATTCAGAGAGGGCTCCAGGCTGAGGGCCTGCTCCACAAGAACAAAGCTGGGTCTGAAAGGAAAGATTCCAAGGAGACCCTTAAACTTCTCACTTGGCGGACACTGCATTTCCCACCTAGGATGCCTCAGTCGTCCTGAAAGCCACTCGAGACCTGCCGTGTGTCCTCAGAGTGAAGCAGTCAAGAAGCTCTTTTCCTTTCGTGTGACCAAGTGAAGAGCCACCTCTGAGAACCTGAGCAATGTCTTCTCTTCCCTGCTCGACCTCAGCAGTGTCATCCCTTTCCTGTCCGGGGTAAGCTGGCCACTGTCACTTAGGCTTATCTGTCAGCACACACTGAGATAGAGCAAAAAAGAGGAAGATAGAGAGAGACCCTGACACTGAGGCCACACATGTGCTGTGGAGGGGAGGGCACGTGCCCCAGCCTCTGCTCAGCTGCTGCCAGGCACGCGGGCCCCGTTCCTCACCAGGGTCACTGGCCAGAGCAGGGTCTCTCCTGGTTGCCAAGGCAGGAGGGCCTCTGCCACTGCCTTGCCTGGCTCAAGGACATGGAAGAGATGCCCTGGAGACCCAGTGATCTGGGGCGTGAGGAGCAGCAGAACGCTTCAGGCCAAGCCCTCACCAGGTAGCTACTTATGCTTCCTACTGGACACTCAGTTCTAACCCCAGTGACACAGGGAAAGAAATCCTTTCAGGTATGAAATAAAAGGATGTTCTTGGACTAGTGCTCAAAAGTCCAAACTAGAAAGCAATTTTATCCTGCCCAAGCATGTAAGACAGTGCATCAAAACCAAATGTGTTCTGTGAGTAAGGCTGCTCCTGGAAGACGCTCTTCCCAGCACGCGGGCCATGGCAGGTTCGAGAGTGGTGGCTGGAGCTGCCAGCAGGGTGTTAGTGGCGCTGCTGCAGTGGGCTGGAGCTGGCAGGCCCTCAGGGGCTGGTGGTGAGACTATTTTCTGGGGGCATGTTGGAGGCCCATCATGGTTTTCATGTAATTTTGCTGGACAAACACAAGGAGAGAGAAGAGGAATTGATCAGGAGCTATGGAGTTAGCAGGGACTGAGGAACTGTGCGCCTTCACATTCATCTCCCCATTCTTACATTCATTACACACAGAGATAAAAGCTGTTAGATTCAATAAAATAAGAAGATTTTGGACCTTAAAAAACCTGACCCTATATATTCCATTATGAGTAAATGCATGAAAGTTTAAGTGGTTCAAGTTCAACATTGCGTAAAAAGTTAGCGAATAGCGTTGGCAGTTTAACAACTGAGCAAGACCTTTGTCTCAAAAACACAAGGCAGGGAGGCATATGCTTTGATGAAAGGTCTGGGTTCAGTCTCTAGCACTGCGAGTGAAACTGTGTCTCAAAATAAAAATACACTTGATCTTAGCCAAAAGGCCGAGAAGCGATCAAAATAAAAATAAAAAGGGATGTGGACTATAGCTCGTTGGTAGAGTGCCTGGGTTTGATCCTTTCATAACTGAAAAAAAAAAGTATCACAAACAAAAGAGTAAATTAATAATCAGGGGTCTGAGGCTGTAGCTCAGTAGCATGCACATGTATCAGGCTCTGGGCTTGATTCTAGTACCCCCTTCAAAAAATTAACCAATTAATTTAAAAAGGAAACGCGAACTCTATGTGTTCATCAATATGAGATGGGTGAGGCAGGGGTGGTGGTTCATGCCTGCAATCCCAGCCTGTGGGAGGCTGAGGTAGGACAGTCACAAATTCAATCTCAGCCTGGGCAATTTAGCAACTTTAAAAAAAGAAAACCTGTTTTAAAACAAAATATTAAAAAATGAGCTAGGGATGTCACTCAGCACTCCCTGAGTTCAATCCCCAGCACACCCCGAACACATGCAGATGAGCTAAACCCACTTTGGTAAATGCTCATGCCGAACCCTAGTTTTCAACTGTCAAAAAGAACAGTGGTTCACACAGGCTGGCATGCCATGGTCTTCAGCATGCTGAGTGGGAAAGCAAAACGCAGAACAATCTAGGGGGCGCTAGAATCAAGAGACAGAGTTCCCTGTCAGAGGAGGTTGATGGCAAGTGGAAGGATGGGATACAAGGTGCTTGTACCTTCATACTTTTTAAAATATATTTAAGGGGCTGGAGAGATGGCTCAGTGGAATAAGCACTTCCATAGCAAGCACAAGG